CTAGTCTTACACTGCTAAATTAGGGACGGCTAGCGCAGATAGCCCTCGTGTAGCTTTGCGCGAAATTCAACCGCCGACATTTTCAAAGAACGAATATCAATGTTGCTGTGACAAATGTTTTATATAACGAGAGTCATTGTTATAAACTAAACACGTAAGGAGAAATAGAAATGTCAAACTGGTTTCTTTAATTAGTTTTGAGCCAAATAGAAAATCGGTTTATCATATGATATATGACTTACATTTCTATTCAGGTCATCTGTAGCCGTAGTTCGTGTTAACGTCACAGACATCAACAACAACGTTCCAGAATTTGAGGGTGCCCCCTATGAGGCGTCTGTGGGAGAGTCTCTGCCACCTGGTGCCTTTGTTTCTCAAGTCCTTGTACGTATCGAGGCTTACATCTCTTATCATAAAAATTGTTTTTTTTTTATTATTTCATTTCGTTACCGTTGAATATCAACAATGTAGTAGATAAAATATAAGATGTAATAGATATACATGTTCAGTTTTACAGGTTATGCGCGAGTTTCAAGTAAATAAAATTAGTTATGCCTTTTTTTTTTGAAACTCTTTTTTTTTTAAATGTTCTATTATCAATAACTTATTTCTTAAACGGTTGTCACATTAAAACTTACATGAGTTTTTTTTAATGCGGATAGGTTTGATTGAGTTATTACCTTCTTTGTAACGTTTATTCAAATGCTCCCAGTGGCTCAGCTGTAAGTTTGAAGGTAAATGGCGCTTAAAAACGAGGTTTGATCCCTGCGGTAACCGCAACACAAATAATTGTGCAGCCTTGCCCTAAACAACAACAAATCAACTTATTTTAACAAGATTATAAAAAACATTTGGACTTGATACTGTTTTAAAGGGTGTTAAAGATATTCACGTGACAGTTGATACTGTTTCTAGGGGTGTTAAAATATTTGTTTGTTTGTAGTTAAGCACGAAGCTACACAAAGGGTTATCTGTGCTCTGCACACCACGGGTATCGAAACCCGGTTTCTGGCGTTGTAAGTCCGCAGAAGTACCGCTGTGCTACTGGGGGGGGGCGTGTTAAAATATGTGACGGTTGATATTGTTTATAAAGGTGTTAACATATTCACGTTACAGTTGATACCATTCCTAGGGGTGTTAAAATATACGCGTGACAGTTGATACTATTTCTAGGGGTGTTAAAATATTCATGAAACAGTTGATATTGTTCATAAAGGTGTTAAGATATTCACGTTACAGTTGATACTATTTTTAGGGGTGTTAAAATATTCATGTAACAGTTGATATTGTTCATAAAGGTGTTAAGATATTCACGTTACAGTTGATACTATTTCTAGGGGTGATAAAATAGTCACGAGACAGTTGATAATATTTATAGGGGTGTTAAAATATTCATGTAACAGTTGATATTGTTCATAAAGGTGTTAAGATATTCACGTTACAGTTGATACTATTTCTAGGGGTGTTAAAATATTTATGTAACAGTTGATATTGTTCATAAAGGTGTTAAGATATAAAAGGTTACAGTTGATACTATTTCTAGGGGTGATAAAATAGTCACGAGACAGTTGATAATATTTATAGGGGTGTTAAAATATTCAAGTGGCAGTTGATACTGTTTCTAGGGAGGTTAAAAAATTCGCACGAAATCGCTCCTGTTTATCAGATTTAATCTAAGTGCTTAAAAACACTCATTTACACATGAGCTTGTTGTCCACAAACTATTCTTGAAACTGATAAGAAAATACGGCAAATACAAGTATCAATAGTGATTGATTTTGTAGAATTTGATATAGAATTATATCATACCTTATAACTCCAGGTGTTAACCAACCTGAGTTATCCAGTAAAACCTATGGAAGTTTTCACATTTCTTTGATGTCATTAGCCTACAATGTATTTTGGGGCAAGTAGAACTCAAAAATGTTAGAACTGTATCAACGTCTGGGTCCCGAGCCTGCAAGCAGAACTCAAAAATGTTATACCGTATTCACGTCTGTGTCCTGAGCCTACAAGTAGATATGAAGTAGGAATATATTTATTGTGATGTCCTGTGCCGTACTGTACCCATCTCTCGTGTACGTTTTCAGTAGCCTTGTTAGAATGATCGTCCCTTTCTTGGGTTGTATATCGTCTGGGTCCCGAGCCTTTGATACAGTACTAACA